CCAATTCCTTTAGGTAGTTCTTCGACTTTTTCCCTTTTTTGAGCCGATTTTCCACTCGTGCGAGCATCCACAAGATCGGGGCGAGTTTTGCGCTGAGCGTCGTGTAGTGTACAGGGGGTTACGAGAGGCGATTAACACCACGTGACCAGCTACCGATCAGCAATCATGAGCTGGCACGGACTTCTGGAGTGTTTGATATTTTCTTGTTCCGCGTGAGGGTTGAAGCGGCGCAGCGAGCGGCTGCGACCCATAAAGTACCAGAACCGCTCACACAGCTCGCCCGCTATTTCCCTAATAACACACGCTGTTCGTTTTTGTTTCTACACGTTTTTTTACTCACAAAGATTGTCAAGAAAGCGTGTTTGTCGTGTTCATGTCAAATTAAACTGATCACAAAACAGATTTACTTTCTTTATTTCGTTTTCCTCATCCAACCCCATAAATCCCTGTGTGTCCTCCTGCAGCACTCCCGAAGGACAACAGGCAAAACAAGACAAGAAAGTCTGACGTGTTGAGTAAAAATGGCTGTTTTTAGCATATTTTAGGTCCGACGTGTTGCTACCAGACGTACATTGTGAGCACATGACTCGTGATATCTGCCCTGCGAGGAAGTCGTACAGTTTGAGCTGAAGCTGAGTGCTGCGAGTGAAAAAGTCGTACAGTGTCCGCCCGGCTTAACCGGTGGGTTGCCTGTTGAAACCCAGGCTTCGTCCTTGGGCAAGAAGACACTTAACCTTTCTTGCCACTAATGGTGGTCGAAGGGTCCGATGGTTCCTGTGTTTGCGGCAGCCTCGCTCCTGGGGTAGCTGTGGCTGCACTGTAGCTCATCACCGCCAGTGTTTGAATGAAAGACCGTAGTGTAAAGCATTTCAGAGTCGTCCGACTCAGAAGTCACTGGACAAGTACAGGTAACGTATCATTTTATAGTTAAGGATGAGAGTTCAGTTCTACAGTGATGGTTGTGTTGAGCGAACGCCGTCTAAAGCCCGTTTCACACGGCACGGTGATTCTGCACGTTTGACCCGATTCTCCCCTGACAACAACCTTAAAGAGGGACTGCACACCATCAGAAAACGTAACTCCACCCCTAGTCAAGATTTGAAAAATGCTATGAAAGTGGGCGTTGCCAGGAGGCACAGACTGGCACGGCCAAGTGTGGGGAAGGGGAGTGGGAGGAGACCGTCCCGATGACGTGAAATGGTTCCAGCCCCAGTCCATCACAAGTTTAACATGCAGTAGCCCTGTTCTGCCACAGGGGGCAGCACTAAGATGTTCTTAGACCTAGATTCTAGATTTAATCAAGTTTACACAAACATGTCAAAAAATGCACAGAAACAGAAAGATTGCATTTGTAAAGACCCAATTATACAGTTTATAAGCAAAAAAAAGTTATTTTAGGTTGAATTACTCTTTAAAGATGTGCCCAGTTACCAAACTGGCTCCAAAGATCATTTTAGCAGATGCTGCTTCTGTGTGTGATGAGTTACGCTCTGGCCTGTTCCAAAGCACCTCTGCTGTCATAAATTAGAGATGTTCATCTTTGGAGAACAAGCGAGCGTTTGAATGTGACGTGTAGCCCTTGTTTGTTTGCTCTGAAGTCATGTTTAATTTCAGAGGTTTAACAAGATTTTCCGTCTAATAAGGGTCTAAGGATGAGTTCGTGTGTAGTTGTGTAGTTTTTGCCATGTGGCTGCACACCTGTGACTCCCTGTGGCCTTTCACGTTTTGATAATTGTCTGAAAATGTTAAAGTGGTGCCAGTCGAACTTGGCCCTAGGTGATCAAAGTGCACAAGGCACACACTTTAGTAGAGCTGAATCACAAGTGAGTCAGTTGTCTTTCATGTTGTGTGTGTGAGGGTTAAAACCACGTTTGAACTGATCCACAGGTAATTAAGGTACCAACGTAAGAAAGTCAGGGCTCACCAGTGAAGCACACAAATCTGCAGCCTACTTCTTAGCAAAACTAGGCTAAACTTTTAAAACATGGTCTATCGAGGCATCACTAGACAAGATAAGCAAATGTTTAAGAACATCTTTTGATCTCATCTCTTCATGCTCTTGCTCACACAGAGGCGTCTCTCTGCATCAGTCTGTTTGAGCGAGGCATTCTGGGTAGTCAACAGGGACAGAATTGCATGCAGACCTAAATAATCCCAGTATGTGTGAGATGCTGCTACACGTCGGTTGAACGCTGATTAGTTAGTAGATGAAAGGGGCAGAAAATTGTCTTTCATCACAAAAAAGGGCAGAATGTTAAAAACCAGAAACGTACAAGTGTGTGTGTGTGTGTGTGTGAAGACGTACAGCGCTGCTCTGTCAGGTCCCGTTGTATTCAGGTCTCATCCTGCCAGCCTGCTCTCTTAAAGGGGAGCTGGGCACAATTAGCTGTTAACATTACCCTGCAGAATTAAGCCAGGGCCGGGATCCCCCGGGGAAATTAAAGATCCGCCAAATCATTAAATCACAAGCTAAACATTAACAGCCATTTGCATTTTTATCGCACCTGAAAAGAATGTGCCAGGTCCATTATCTCTGAGAGACAGCGGAGGGGACTCCTTATTTGTTATTGTAATGTCGCCCCACTTGGAGACACAATGGCGGTTATATACGGGGACAGACGCAACAGAGCACAAGGCTTTGCTTTCATGCTTGTGTTTTTGGAGTGTTATGATTACAAATTTGAACAAGGCTGGCAGAGGATACAGTGACTTGTTTGTTATGCAAATCCCCTCCTCATTCATCGCTCCCCAAAAATAAACACAGCCGAACAGATGACAACTTGCAGAGGGGCTCAGCTGAGCAGCATCGGCGCTTTGGTTGTTGACAGGTTCTTTCTGTCTTTTAAGACGTCAGATGTAAAACAGAAAAACTACATTTTATCAGCTGAAATTAGTCACTTTTAACTCGTAACTGAAAAACTAAAATGTGAAAATTTTCTCACTTTTTACCAATTAAAATTTTTAAATGACAATATTAAGTTTATTTTAAACATAATTACAGATAATGTCAAATAAATAATTTTCTCAGAATTTGTTAAATCTAAATAATGAAATCTAAATGTAAGTAAGTGATTTTAAAGGAGCAATATGTGAGAATTCTACAGGGGAAAAAAAATTAAAAACAGACTCATGTCTCATTCATGCTGGAAGAAAGGTTACATTAAACCAGATTTCATTCTCAGGGGGGTTGTTAGGTTTTTCTCCTGTCAAAAAAGATGAAGGACATGTCATTACTGTTTACACTCTGTGAATTTGTGAGGTTGCCAAGTTTGTGCCGAGCTAACACTGCTATGCCGGCCTTTTTAATTTGACACAGGCAGGCAAAAAGCTCCAGAGTTGATAAAAGAACCAAAGCCAGTAAACAGGAGCGACCCAGCGGTTGTTTCTTGTACCCCTGAGAAGTCACGGCATGTTTTTCTTACTCTAATATCGGGTGTAGCAGGATAAAGGCTAATGCTGAGCCAACAATGCTAATGTTGAATTAGAAGCAAATAGATGGCTCTAAAAATATCTCATGCTACTTTTTCTTTTACCAACAGCTTGATATTACAGTGGTGTTTGTGTGAAGTGAATAAAAAGACAATTGTGGTGTTTTACTTCCTCTAATTAGTCATTCAGATCTATAACAGCTAGCTAACAGCAAGACAATAGTTTTTGCCTGCTTCTGAGTGCCAAAAGACTGATTTAAGTCTGTTTTGATTGCTTGCACATGTTGTACATTAAAAAGTATTTTTATGTCTTTTATGTCTGACTGTTTTATCTTATTTTTATGTTGTTTGTTTTTATATTATATGCATGTTGTTCTTTGGTGTAAAGCAAATTATGTGTCTTTTGCTGCTGCCTTTTGGTCCAGATTGTCGTTGTAAATAAGAATGGGTCCTCAGCCAACCCATCGGGTTAAATAAGGGTTAAATAAAATTAATTTAATTAAATAACAAACAGCAAACAACCACATTTCCTCTAATGCCTGAAAAATATTACCGTAATAAGTGTAATACGTGCTCCCCACTGTAAAGCACCCAAGAGCGTCGACACCAGATATGACTATGTTTTTACATACTTATCAACTTAGTGTGTATGATTCGTGTTTGCTCGACATCATCTAGAACTTTCTGGTGCTGGTCTGTAACTGGTAACAGTAACACATTTGCTTAGAGAAATGGACTGCAGTAGCCAAATTTGACCACAGGAGGTCATTCTTACATATTGCATCTTTAAATTAAAAATGAAGCTAACATGCATATTCAGATTTCTGCAAAACAGAAATAGCCGTGATTTAAGAGGGGCGAAGGAATCCCCTATCTAAGGTCTCTGTACAGGTAAGATTTAGTGAGTCTGTTTAAATGTGGATCAGTTATTGATTTACAAGTAAAATCCAGAGACGAACACCGATAAATGATCCATAAATGAACACATTCACTCGTACCTGCCGTGGGACTCTGAGAACTTAGCTTCAACCCATGTTTATGTCAGGAGACTGTTTCTAGTTGAAGGAAATTTTAATTTTAATTTAGGCAAAATTGTAAATTTTAAATTAAATAATTAGATTTAGTTTGTTTTAGAAATATTGAGTTCAGATTTTAAACCTTTTACGTGGATTTGACAGGTTTGGACTAGAATCTTATTATTTGAATTTTAATTAGAATAAAATAAAAGTACTATTTTATGTGATTAGATTCAACTCAAAGTATTTAGATTTCATTTCATATTAGTAGATTTGTCTCTTAAAATTTGGATAATTTTATCTGAATGTTAGGATTTAATTTAAAGTACATTTTATTTAAATCTGGTTCTAAATATTTGATTTTATTTTGTACATTTCCATTTGATCATTCATATATGATTCTAATGATTTAGCTTTATGTGTAGATTTTGTTTTCCCTTGAAGATGAATGCGGTGGCAGACATTTGGGACCGGCATGTGAGTGCTGTGAGACATGAGAGGGGAGGTGAATCTTGATGAGCTGACTTTGCCGACTTTCTTCCTCTCTGCTCTGCAGGTGAGCGGGATGTGTGGACACGCCACTCAGCGGGCCTCTCGCTCCGTCGAGTCCCCCCCTCCTCCACCCCTTCCTACACGCCCTCTCCCTCTCCAACCTCCCGCTGCCTCCTCCACTCGTGACGCTCAGCCCTCGGACTCAGATGAGACTCTGGCCGGTCTCCGCAGGTGAGGAAATCAAAGCCTGTAATCCAGAGTGAGACCGTTTCACGTGCAGGGGGTCGATATATGTCTGACATAAAAATATTGACCACGGCTCTGTGGTTTTACTGGTGACACTTTCTTTTCTCCACTTGAGGCATAAATGAGCTGTGTAATAATTACTCAGCAGGGTGTCTGGCTTCAGCAGCAGAGGAGCATGATTAATGTCAATTAGGAGCAGACTCTGCTTATTCTGGCCTCTTGTAATCTCCCCATCTCATGGGGGATCAAATCAACTTGTTATTAGACCAAATTCTTTCTTCTAATCTCCTCCTCCTTCTCTTTCTATGTATGACAGGTTTGCTCTTTGTGTCTGTGTCCTCAGGGAGTTTATAACCAGCCTGAAAGGCTTCAGCTCCTTCTACAGCGGGCTCGGGGAGGCACTGTGCAGCCGCGAGCCTGCACCAGCCAACCACTCCCTCTGCTGGAATGGGCAGGAGATGACAGACAG